TTTTTTTTTGGTGGAACCAGGGATTGAACTCAGGCCCTTGCACTTGCCAGGGAAGCACTTATTCCACTGAACCATCTCCCTGGCCCCTATCCATAGGCTTTTTTAATGGGCTTAATTTTCCTAGAGAGGTTTTAGAGTCATGGAAAACTTGGGAAGAAGTTTTCCTCGGCATGAGTTCCATGTCTACTGTCCCCACCCCAAGTTTCCATCACTATCTATATTCTGTATTGCCAGAGTGGTACGTTTGTCTTCACTGATGAACTGACTGTCCTAGAATTTTGGAAGGAATTCCTCACAAGCCATCCAAGTTCCACAGAGGTATTTCAATTATCTCTGACTGGTAGAAAATATAAACTTCCTGTTCTGAAATGAAAGAATGGGCTATTCTTTAAATGATTGCCTAAGGGTTGGAAAGGCCAGTTGGTCCTTGAAAGAGTTTTGTGTATGGCATTACTATTACAATCATTTATGAAAGAATCCTTCAATAAATGAGATCACTGGTGGACTCCTCCAAGAAAGATTTTAACATATTTTGTCTGGAATGTAGTTAACTTAGTAAAACATCATTTACAGTTTATAACATTATTTTTGTTGTAAGGCTGTATTTTGATTTGTCCTAACCCCCTTCTCCAAAGACATACAGATGAATGCAAGTAATGAATACAAAGTATTGTAGGAGAAACTATAGCAATAAGAGTAAAAGAAAGAAAACTTAAATTCACAAAGGCCAGAGATGCTGGGTTTAGCATACAGAAGAAAGAATGATACAATGTTGGCAGCAATTTAAAATTAATAGTGTAATAATCTGGATGCTACTTTATAGTACTCAATTATCTAAATAAATTCAACAGTTCCCTTAAGAGTGCTTATTTTCCTGCAGTTCACTTTAGTGGTTTGAGAAGGGGAACCCTCTTTTCTTGCTTTCTAAGTCTATGGAGCCTGTTCCATCGCTTTCCTGAATAAGCAAAGAGACGACACTGAAAAGTTCTGCCCAAGAGTGAGCATTTTGAAGTTTGCTTGGTCAGCCTTCTAACTTTGAACTCAGTTTGATATGTTAAATTTACATCATTATAAGAAAATACCACTTAAAGGGGCAATCTATCTATCTATCTATCTATCTATCTATCTATCTATCTATCTATCTATTATCTATCACCTATCTAGGTCTATGTAATGTATCTGATAGCAGGAAATGCCTGAGAGCGGAAGACCCAATACTATTATGGATTACTGGACTCTTGTAGAATATTTTGCTGAGTTAACACACCTATAATATTCATATAATGGAACTTAACAAAAAAGGGGATACAGATGAATGTCCATTTTGTATCTGTGTATTCAAAATGATTAGGATAGATATATAGTTACATTCTCTTAATGAATAGAGGGATTTGTTCTAATAGTGTTTGTAAATAGGATATCATGTCTGCATCTTGTACAGCAATTAACCACTAGGAAGAATGTATACAATCTGTTAATTATTGAAACTGTTCTACCAATTTGGTTTGAAACTGTCTCATTGCTATTTGTCTGTCAATAAAATTATGGGAAAAAAATAAAAAAGAAAAGATAAACTAAAATAAATTCAGCTCTGAAAGCTAACCAGTAAATTTCCTCATATATGAGATATGCTTTAAATATACAATGAATGTTTAATTTTTTTTAAATTACAGTAAAAGATATATTGTCATTAATCTCTCTCAAAATATTCCCACTCACATTGAACACTATCCCATCATTCTTGCAACTTTCCAAGGCAGTTCTGGACGTCCTCTTTTATAAATGTCTTTAGTTGTGTTCCTGTGGCTGCCATGATATCCTGAATAGATTTAAAACTTTTACCTTTCATGGTCATTTTGACTTTGGGGAAGAGCCAGAAGTCACATGGGCCAGATCCGGGGTGTGAGGACACACGTTTTCATGAGTCTGCCCCTAGGTTGGATGGCACTCAGTAGCAGCAGTCACTGTATTGTTCCTGTCTCTTAAAGATATTCATGAAAAAAGACTTATAGAACTGCTTCAGAAAGCCTCAACAATGATGGGATAAGTATGTTTAAAGTGGGACAGAGGTATTTTGAAGAGAATTAGTAGTGATATATGTCTTTTAGTGTAAACATTTTTAATTTAGACATTCACCATATATTTTGATCATACTTTGTGTAATATTGGGTACAATTTTTTCTTTATGGCTTCATATACCTGTGTAATACTGGGCAAAAATAATGATCTAAGACATATATGATGAGTCAAGTACAGTAAAAGGTACATTGTAGAGTTTGGATACTGGGTATCAAGAGGTTTATTGCTAAATTTTTAAACTTTGCTGTATGCTTGAAAATGGCTCTAATAGAGTACTCAAGAAAAAAAGCTTATCTAAATAAAATGATTGTGAAATTCTCCCACCATAATAGAAAATACAGTAAAGTATTATTCTTTATGGAAAGCCTCATTATGATGGTTGAATTACATTTAAAATACTAGACTGTAATACAAAATCATGTTATTCATATTTTACTATTTTGATGCTAAATTAAATTAGAATTAGTGTTTATTGTATTCTTAGAGTCTTACCTTTGAGTAAAACACATTTCAGTTTATATGTGAGTTTTATTTCTACATACATTAAACCTTCTGTATAGAACTTTTCATAAGAAACCCCAAATGATTATTCTGTACGTAGATAACTAATACATGTACCCATATGCATTTCTTAATGCAACTGTGTAGCATAAACTGATATTTTTGTAGCTTTTATAGGTGTAGGTGACTCTCATAGATTAAATGGGAGTCCTGTAGTGATTTATGTAAAGTGAAAAATTTTTTTTTATATTTGGGATTTGCCCAATTTTTTTTTACATTTGGGCAAATCTCAAATATAAAATGAGTCCTAAATATTAAAAAATTATTTATTTATTTATTTATTTATTTATTTATTTATTTATTTGGTAGATTGAACTCAGGCCCTTGCGCTTGCCAGGCAAGCGCTTATTCTACAGAGTCTTCTCCCCAGCCCTACAAATGTACTTTTTTAATTTTGATTTTTTTCCCATCTGAAGGTGGAAAGTAACCTTTTAATTAATCAAAGTATTATATGTAATGCATAAATTAATGAAGGTCCTCCCTAGGAAATTGATTATATAAAGGGCCCCAAAGCAATGGCAACCATCAGCCCTCTAAGATAGGTAGTAGGGTTGTGTGCTCAAGTATTAGATGTCACAGATTCTTGCTATTGTGTCATCTTGTGGCACTTTTCTCCTTTTCTTTTTCACCTGGCTGTCACCTGCTTTACCCTGTTCCGGTTCAATGTATCTGCCTCAAACAATTGTCAGTGACTAGAAAACAGACGAAGTTAACTAATTAGTATTGGGTGTAAAGTAAGGGCAAAAATCTGACTAAAAGTCCAAAAGGCTTCCTTCAAATTAAATGTTCAAGCACTTGGGGGGAATATATTGTTCTTGCTTAGTATCCCCCACCCCACTCCCTCACTACTAAATGTGTTTCAGAGAACTAAGGCTGGCAGGAAATGACTCCTAGATTTAATGTTCATTATACAATTATTACCAGAATATCACTATAATTATTTTAAAGAATTTACTTATTGTTAAAAAGAAACTCAATGCATGTTATAAGCTAAAAAATGCTGCATTCGTTGATGTTCTCTAAGAAAAGCAACCTTCCTTGGGAGATCACTTATCTCAAAGAATCGCAGTCTACCTTCTCCAGTTATGACTTATACACGACAGAGGTTGATAACTGCATGATAACAAAGACTGGTGCTCTTCCCTGGAACTCTCCCCTTGTCAGTTTCTTTGAAGAGCACCCTTGATTACTGGAAATCTCATATTTGCAAAACAAAACCAGCTTCTCATGAGCTGGCTTCTCTGCCCACTTGGGAAGAGTTACTTTTAGCTATTCTATTAGTCCAAGTTAATTTAAACATTTGTACTTGACCTACTTATCAATTTAATAGGTTTTCTTGCCAAAAAGAATGTACCAGTGCCCTCCTATCTATATTATCTACACAGAAAATATTTCATGAATTCTTATCTTATTATATGTATCATTCAGATACAGGGAAGAGCATTATTTAAGAAGTTGGCTAATCCAAACCAAACAATAATTACGACTTTTTGGCTTGTCAGGTTTTAGTTTCAACAACACCCTCCCCAATGGTGAGAAGGTCCTTGAATAGCATCTTTTAAGGCCATTTTAAGATATAAACTTCTAAAGCTTTTATGCAAGCAAAAGACAACATATTCAAAGGCTTCTGTCTTTGAAAAGATCTTCATTTTAATTATAAAATATAGAAAATCAAATCACCCATAGTGTTACCTTTCTATGTAAACCATCAGTAGTGGCTTTATATGCACATTTTATAGTGCAGGGGCTACATATCATAGTCTCTGTATTAGCCAACACATTTTTATAATTTTACATTAAACTCTTATGTGTTGTTTGATATGGATATAATTTTCCTTCTGGGAAGAGTTATAAAAATGTTGACTTTGTGTATGCAAGTCTGTATAGCAGGAAGTATGTAAAATTATTTTTTCTTTACAGACTCTGATTGAGATTTTCCAAAATATTGGTAATACCAACCTTGCAGATTTCATTGCTGGATTACTTACCATCATCATCTGTATGGCAGTTAAGGAATTAAATGATCGATTTAAACACAAAATCCCAGTCCCCATTCCTATAGAAGTAATTGTGGTAAGTAGAATACATAGTTGGGCGATTCAGCAGTAATAAGGTTGACAAACAAAGACCATTAAAGCCAGTGGAGTTTGGGTTGGGGATTGTAGATCAACTGTAGAATGCTTGCCTAGCATGCATGAGGCCCTAGTTTAATTCCCAGAACCATAAAACAGAACACCAGAAACCTCCGTGAAGTTTGTTTTCCCTATTCTTTATTTCATTCAGACAATAATTGCCACTGCCATTTCATATGGAGCCAACTTGGAAGAAAATTACAATGCTGGCATTGTTAAATCCATCCCAAGCGGGTGAGTATGGCATTCCTCTAAAGTAATGCTGATATATTTAGTCAATCTTTTCTATTTAATGAAATCTTTTATTATAAGCTTCACTTCACCAGTGCTCCATCAGTCGTCTCATTTGCATGTGATCTCAAATGCCCATTTGTGCAAAGCATCATACATGTGTAGATAAAATTCACACTGTTTGTTTAAAAGCAGCTCTTATGAGCTCCATATCCTTCATTTTCTCTAAATGTGACAGGACATGTACATTTAATGCTAGGCTACTAGCATTAAACTCAGATGGATTATTATAACATACATGCAGCCATGTATAGTAATACTGCATGGTGAACAATCAATTTGAGGAAACAGAGGCATCTGGTCTAAATTCTTCACCTTTTAGAAAAGATAATAGTCATGTCTTTTGTACATATATGTATTTGCATTAGCTCCCATTTGTTTTGTCTTTTTTTTTTTTTTTTTTTTTTTTTTGTATTTTAGTACAGGGTCTACAGGGTCTCACTACATAGATCAGACTCCTAGTGTTCTGCTTGTGTTCAGCCTCCCAAGAGCTGGGATTACAGGCGCGCCACCTTACCCAGTCTCAATCACCATCTCAGCGCGCACCAGCATGGCATGCTGGGGATTGAACCCCATGCTGCTTCTGCCTAAGCAGGCACTTTAGTCCGCTGAGCTGGTTGGCCCATTTGGGGTTTTTATATATTTAGTAGTTGGGTGGCTCAGAAGCACAAAAGATCAAGGTCCCATTTCTGTTGGTCCAGTTGTGTGGTCCCGGGGAAATTCTCCTCTAGGACAGAGGTAATTCAGCAGCCAAAGCATCAATTCAAACTCGGGAACTGGCAGGGAGAGCCCTCATAAAGTACAGAGTGGACAAAGTGCCTTACATGACGATGTCATCAAATGGGCTTAAAAAGGAAGTTTACTTATAAGATGAACTGATAGCGTTTATGGTAAGTACTAGATCTCCCTCCCTCATACCAGGGGAGGGACCTGTACTGGTCTTTTGTTTTTCATGTTCTTGACAGAAATTCTTCAGGCACCTCATTCCTCGTGCTCATCACACAGGAGACCAACTATCTTCCTTTTGATCAAACTTACAATTCTAGTATCAGTTCCAAAACATTTCAAAAGTGACAACTGGCTACATGGTTCTTAAGTTACATACTACCATTTCTCAAACTCATTGTTTTGCAAGAATTATGAGACCTGTTTTAACACAGTTTCCTGGATCCCACCCCAAACCGATTCAGTCATGCTTTCCAGAGGAGGGGCCTGGGAATTATTTTCAAAAGTACCTTAAGTGATTGTTCTGATTAAGTCAATTTGAAAAACTAAATTTCCGGGTCAACCTTGTGATAGCCAATTATAACTCTGGGAGGAATTTAAAGATAAAAGATGCAATGTGACTTCTTGGATTACGGTATTTTCACCATAGCAGATTGATAGCTATATTACATAAAAATATATTTCATAGATCCCCTTTGTTAGGCTTCCTAGTACATATGGAGTTATAGATGGCCCACAGCACTTGGACTCCCCATAAATCTACATTTCATTCATTATTTTGTGGAGCTTGCTTCAGCTGCCCTAAGTTGACCTGCCTCGCCCTCTCCTCCCAAATATGGGTCTCTAGCCTCTCAGTTTTGGGTTTAATCATCTTGAATTCTCTGATGGATCACTTGGTCGCCTCTGTCAGCCACTTAACCTGCCTGACCTTGAGGACTATAACCTCCTCCAAGAGCTGGGACCTGTTTTATGGTGCTCAGCTCTGGCCCCCCAGCCTAGTATCTGCCTCACAATTAGGCTCCCAGGAAATATTTGTTGAAGGAATAAAAGCCTGTGTCATTAAGTCACAAAAAGGCCTTTGTTATCCGATCTCACTTGTGGCACAGAAACAGCTCTAATCATCTTAACAGACCTGAGTAGGAAAGCAAGGTGTGGAGAGACTGGAGGACCGCAGGGCAGCACCTTGAAAGAAGAGGAGCAAAGAGAAGCAGTGGTGTTCCATCTTTTGATCCAAGCTACTTGATCCAATCAGACTGCCTTTAGAAGCTTTCCTTCCATCCCACTCAGGATCGGGACCACATGTTAGGCTTGCATAGTCCCCAGTAAGTGTCCCACTGGACAGCCAGAAACCCACTCCGTGCTGTTCTTTCTACTTCCTCCCTGGTAAAAACGCATAACCTCTTTCTATTCAATGGAACACTAGTATTCACTCACCCGGGGAGCCCTCATTCTCTCACCAGAAGCCTCTAATACAGCCAGTCACAGCCAGCCCTTCTCCTTATGCAACTGATCCTTATCCTGTAGTTCTTAATGTGTCAGCTCCTCAATCAGCACTGGCTTCTTTTACTCTTCTGTCATCATGGTTCTTATGCGTGTGTACATGCATCTGGGTTTTTTTTTTTTTGGGGGGGGGGCATTGTTTGGTACCAGGAATCAAACTCGGGACTTTGTGCCTGCTAGGCAGGCACCCATGGCTGAGCTATGTTCCTGGCCCCACATGCATCTCTTTTAACCCATAACAAGAAGGACCATGCTGTCCTCTGAATTTTAGGCCCTATACTTCCACCTGCCTCATAGCTCACCATACCCATATGGGGTCCTCTGCTCACAGTGCCAGAGATCCTCTTTGTTGTTGTTTCTTACCACTGCTTTTAAGTAATGGGCTTTGCAGCTGTATTTGAAACTGTGATGCAGGGAGGGAAGAAAAGCAGGATAGGCTATAGGGCAGTGGGGGTCGGGTAGGGGACCACCACAATCAGAGGATTTTTTTCTTAGCTGCTTTTTAAAGGCTGTTTTTGTTGGTTTGTCTGAGACAGGTCACACCATGTAGTTCAGGCTGCTGTCAGACTAAGGGCAATCCTTTTGCCTCAGCCTTCCAAGTGCTGGGATTAAAGGCATGTGCCTGGCTTATTTCTTTTTCTTTTTCTTTTTTTTTTTTTTTTCAGAACAGGGGATTGAACTCAGGCCCTTGCGCTTTTTTTTTTCAGAACAGGGGAAGCACAGGCAAGCACATATTCTACTGAGCCATCTCCCCAGCCCCATGGCTTATTTCTTTAGTAGTTTTCAGAGCAGCTCTGATTTTGTCACACAATAATTATTTGACCATACAATCATCAGGGTATTTTAGTCACTATAGAGCACTGTGCTAATGAAACAAATTTAATCTGTTATGGCCTCAAGAAGATTTTAAATGTCATGGCTCTTAACTAACATCTTCCAACATTATCTGGTCTCTGTGTCTTTAACAGGACCGACATGCTTTTACACAAAATAGATCTCATTTACTGACTAGGTTACCTTTTAAGTTCAAGTTAGAATGCAACTCTGTCAGGAGAAGCCCTGCTGTGTGAAGTGGTATGGATGGAGTTGTATGGCCTTAAAGAATCAGTAACAACAGATTTATTTATATCAGAGACATCACTAACTTTTGAAGAAAAAGAATCAGAGCTGAAGCTACCACGGGGCACTGACACACACTTGTGCTCTTGGATCATGATCTTTTGTGTCTAACGTGTGGCCGAGTGGGTATGACATCTGGTGATGCAGGGAAAAGGGAATCAAATCTTCACAGTATTTTTCATTTAAAAACTCACTAGGTTTTTGCCTCCTATACTTCCACCTGTGGAGAAGTTTTCCGAGATGCTGACCGCATCGTTTTCCATCGCTGTGGTGGCTTATGCGATTGCAGTGTCTGTGGGGAAAGTATATGCCACCAAACATGATTACACCATTGACGGGAACCAGGTATGCTCGCCCTTGTGCTGACTGGATTTTCAGGGCTGAAAACAGGAGAAAAAATAGCTAGGAAACATTTGGAGTGTCAGCTAAAGAAAGGATTGGTTTGTTCTAGAAATCCTTAGTTGGTTTCCTTCTTGCTTGTTAATTAGAAATTGCTTTCAAATATTCACGTTGTGTCACTTTGCTTTTTAAAAATTAAGTTGAAGTAATCCTAGTTTTAAAAGCAGCTAATTGGGTTATAATCTGTTCAAAATTAATATGTTAGGTCAGAATAGGAATTGTTCTGGAAACTCAGTATTTCCTGGCAATTTTTTTAATGGCAACTATAATATGACAAAACAGTGCAACAAATATTATTAATAATAGCAGGGTTGGGAGATAGCTTCACCGTCTAGGCACTGCCTGGCAAGCGCAAGGACCCAGGTTTGATCCCCAGTACTGCATGCCATGCCAACCCTGGGACCTCGTGTGTGCCGTGCCGGCCACTAAAACGGGGCGTGATGGCAGGTGCCTGTAATCCCAGCACTGGGGAGTCTGAGACAGGAGGATCGCTATGAGTTTTAGCTGCATAATGAGACGCTGTACCCAATAAATAAATAAATTTCAAAAATTAAAAATAATAACTGTGTGCGATTTACTTATACGGGCAATTTTTGTAGGCATATGATACACTGGCAGGTGAGGCGCTTTTGCAGTGCTTGCAAATCTGCAAGCCTGTTACTGAGTAACTGTGAGAACAGTATACCAATGGCAACAGCCACAGGACCAGCAATCGCACAGTGAGAAGCTTAGCTAGCTGTGATGCACCGCACAGCAAGTATTCAACCGCAGAGCAGCATTTCATGTGCCGGCTGCAGATCTACTACTCACCGGGCAGTGAAGAAGTATTTGTTTATTTATTTACATGTCTATAACACATGTTAATTCTTTTTATTGCTCCTTCCCTTCCCCTCTTCATTTCTAGGTCCCCTCACCCATTTGCCAAAGATCGAGCTCCCTGTTTTCGATTAGCTATCTTTTCTTTTGCTCTTTAAATTCTTTATACTTTGGCCTTCCCGTATAAGAGTAGCCATGTGATAGTTACGCTTGTGTGTCTGATTTATTTCACTTTGCCTTATGGTCTGCAGGTGAAAATAACTCAAATTTAGCTTTCTTTATAGCAGAGTAGTACTGCTCGTGTGTAAATACCAAATTTTCTTAATTTATTCATCTGTTCATGGACATATAGGCCACTTTCAAGATTTAGCTATTATGAAATGTGTTGCTATCAACATGGGTGTGCATGTATCGCTGTAATATAATGTCTTTAACTCTTGGGAAGGTGTCTAGAAAAAGAATGGTTAGGTCCAGCGAAATTGTAATTTTTTGTGGAATCTCCATGAAAAAAAAAAGTTTTTTTGATATAGGATCTTCAGATAATTGTCAACCTTAAAAACAACTGACAGCAGTGAGGTCTCTCTTAGGTTCTATGAAGCCCAAACTCCTGATCTTTTATAAGATCCCCAGAGACATTTTATAGTAAAAATTAAGTTGGACCATGAGGCAGGGTAGACTTGGAAGTTTTCCTTAACATTCATCTTGAAACACTGGTGAGAGGCTTGCAAAGATTCTATTTGTAGCATCACCGTCACCCAGTCTCTCCCCTAGGAATTCATTGCTTTTGGGATCAGCAACATCTTTTCTGGATTCTTCTCTTGTTTCGTGGCCACCACTGCCCTTTCCCGCACAGCAGTCCAGGAGAGCACCGGGGGAAAAACACAGGTATGGAAGGAACAACAGCGGGGTCCCATTAAACCAGAGATGGTGGCTCAGAAAGTCTTGCACAAGATCTGAGTAAGACAATAAACCTTTGAAAAGAGAGAAGCACTGTGCTTCCTTGTCTCGTCCTGCTCATCTCTTTGACTCATCCCTTCATTCAGAATCTCTTAAAAGCAACATTTATGCTTTCCTGAGGTGGCAGTTCTCAAGTCCTTTTGAGTCCCTGCTCATCTGACGAGTAACTCCTCACCTCCTAGGAGCAATCACAGCTGCCAGGGCAACAACAAAGATGAAGAATGCTGACTTTTATCAGCTTGTTACCTGGAGGAGAGGGTGGCAAAGGCCTAGTGGCAGGGCTTGGAGGCTTTGTGAGTTCTCATATTTTCAGGAAAGTGACAAGTTTATTCACATTCCCTCTACAAGGACTAGGAACTTTGTCCAGAGGCCTTTGGTCCCACAGAATAAGTTTACTAGCCAAGTTTTGTTTATATCGCTGTAGCATTTTGGCATTTCTGAGTAAGATTTTTGTTTTTGACGTTCTGAATGTGGGTTGAATCTTGCCTTTTAAAGGTGGCTTTTGGTTGTTCTCTTGCAAGGCAACCATAAAGCCAGGATCCCAGCCAATTTCTGGCATAATCCCTTATTTAGTTGGCCTAGGAGTGGCTCTCCTCGCTCCCCTTTCCAGCCAGACGTAGAATCAGACAGCCCAAATTGGCACCCTTACGCTACAACACACTCGTGTTCCTGATGTGCCTCCTGGGTTTTGCCTCTCAACGTAGAAACAAATGTTACTGAGGTATAAAAAGTAAATTGGGACTATAAAGGAGAGCTACAGATGCAAACTGAGTAGTGTGAAGAAGCGCAGTCTTCAAATAGGGTTTCGGAAAGCTGGAGACACAAATAACTGGGAAAAACAATAACTGAGAAAATAAATGGCTCCAATGGTGGGCCAGCCAGGGAGAGAGGGAGCTTAAATTGTCCTGATGGTACAGTGATGTTCCTGTCCTATTTATAGGGATCTTGTGACAGATTTGGAAGAACTGGTCTCTTCTAATTGCTTGACTCCTTTGAAACAAAAGTTTAGTATTAATACTCAGAATTTTTCTTCAAAGCTTTTTTGGGGTGAGGTAAACATGTCTAGCTCTGAGGGAGCAGGTAAAACGATAGAGTCCACTGCAGGAGACATAGAAATCTGTCGCCATGGGAAGGAGGTCAGCACTGATTTCCGAAGCCAGGCCCACGTCAGGCCATAGCTCTCAGTTACAGGAGTTCTTGCTGCTGATGTTGGCAGCGACAAACTCTTCAGGACACAGCTCCTAAGAGGGTGCAGGAAGTCACTTTTGAACTGCTGATGTCTGTTTTTTTGCTCTTACCTCTGGACCCAAATAAGCTGGCTGCCCTGGTAAGAACACCGTATAAAGTGGCCTCCTTGGCAGAGGTTTGGGGGATAATGGTGTTCTGGTAAGCTAATACTCCCTGCCACACACTGGTATGTATTATATTTAGGAATGAGGGATGACAGGATTTCAGCACTGAAGAAGGGAACAAGTGCAGAAATGCTTGATCTTTAATTACTGAAATGCATACTAAGTTCTGGGGTTAGGAGTCCAAGGGTCTGGATTGAAATCCAGGGACTTATGACCAATAAATTGGCAGGTCCTTTGGCTCTCAATTTTTCTGCTTTCCTCTCTTTTCTTTTTTTCTCTTGTATCTCCTCTCTTCTACCACCTTCTTCTCTTCACCTTTCTCCTTCCTTTCCTTCTTCTTCTTCCTCTTCCTCCTACACACACACACACACACACACACACACACACACACACACACGCACACAGGACCTCATTTCCCCTGAGGTACATCTCTGTCCCTTTTTATGTATGCATGTATTTATTTATTTTTTTTTAGCCTGACTTAGCAGTTGCTTGACTGACTAGTCTGGGCCCAAACTTTTTTTTTTTTTTTTAGAACCAGGGATTGAATTCAGGCCCTTGTGCTTGCCAGGGAAGCACTTATTCCACTGAGCCATCTCCCCGGCACTGGACCCAACCTTGTGATCCTCCTGCCTCAGCCTACCTCAGTGCTGGGATTACAAGCATATTCCACCATGCCCATCTTGTTGTGTGGCTTCTTGTGCATACTGGTGGACATTAACTGTGTTCAGCAGATTGATAGAGCGTAGAAGAGCTAAATGCTGCCACCTGTTCTTTCTTTTACCCATATCTGATTCCTACTGACTCATGAAAAGTAATTCTGATTACAAAGTACTCTACAGCTCTGTCCTCTCACTTAACAGGATAATTAGTTTGCCAGTAATTGAATCTACTATAACGTCAGTAGTCTTTCCAATAAACCACTATATGTAGTAAGTATAAGTAACTGATCCTTCACAGATTTCAATATAGTGACCAAAATTAGCTATGCCCAGATGGAGCCTCCTTATTAGGTATACCTGTCAAGTAGATAGCCACTCTTGCCTGAATTGAGCCACTCACTGTGGTCCTGGTACCCTAACCTCCATCTCTCTCACTAATTCACAGAACCCTTTACCCAGAGTAAGATGCAAGTACTCACTAACTAGTGGTTGAATAAGAAGAAGAAAGGGAGAGAAGAAGAAAGGGAAAGAAAGGATGTTACTTTCTCTTCTTAGAAAAGGAGACGCAAACACACCAAGGTGCTGGGAGCCTGGCAGTGTGGTGCTAGGAAGAGCATAGAGGTGAAAACTGGGTATACAGGGTGAGCTTTTCAAAAGTTCATCCTGTACAGAATATTGTTCCAGGCTGGCTCAACCATAATCTGAATAGAAATAACCAATTTGACAGATGCAGTGGTTTTTGTTGATGTTTGAAACAAGGTCTTGTCATGTAGTCCAGGCTGGGCCTAAAATTGCTTTGAGGCCTCAAATTTGCAGCTATCCTCCTGTCTCGGCTCCCCAATGAGGACAGCATACTTGGCTGAAGCGAATTTTTTCTAATTATCTTTTTACATTTACTGTGCCTTCCCCCTGTAACTCACATATCTTACGCTAGGCAGTACTTATGCCCTCTCCTGCAGCTTCCTTGCTGACTGCTTGGCTTCTGGTTCCCTGTCTCCTCTTCTGTTTCAGAGCTTCTAGTCTTCCTTGGCCATGCCACCACTGTCTCAACTGAGAATTCACTGGTCATCTGCTCCAATCAGAGAATATTCCCCACCCCCAGCCTCTCTCCTAACTATTTATGGATCTTGGCAGAGCTTTCTATGCCAATGAAGGTAACATTTCTGAGCTTCCTTTCCTCTCTCATTGCTCCATCACTGCTAGGAGCGAGGTTTGAAGCCAGCACCTATGTAGCAGGAGATAGAGTCTTCTCTCTCAGTGCCCATATGGCACCATGAATCTGCAGTAGGATAGGTTAAATTAATGTCCTGAGACTTTGCTGAGAACCATGGGCTACAAGTACAACAAGTTATCAAGTTGCTATTATGGCTGCTGCTTCCACAATGCAGAAGAGTTGGCTATGTGCCGCGACACTTTATTTCCCAAGAATATGACGGTAATCTCTGCTGTTAGAGAAGGAGGTGGTCTGTGTTTTATGGCATGGCAAATAACTAGAAAGCCAGGCTCTGAAAATGACACCAAAACTACAGCTTTAAGATATTTAAATGAAATCCGTGTCAAACTGGCTTTACTTTAGCAGGTAGTTCTCTTTCTTTGCAATAGTACATGCATATATTTCTCTGTATATTTTCCATGTTTGTTTAGTTTTGTGTAGTCTTACCAAATAATGCTCATTTCTCTGAATAATGAGCAGAGGGGGAGTCAGGAAAGGATCAACTGTGCCTGTGAAATGCACATATGTAGCAAGCTGGAAGACACGGAGAAGGATGACCCCTCTTCATGTAAGGTGTATGTCTTTCAGATTGCTGGCATCATTTCGGCTGGGATTGTGATGATTGCCATTGTTGCCCTGGGGAAGCTTCTGGAACCCTTGCAGAAGGTGGGACTCTGCTTCTCTGTACAATTGCATAATTTCTCTTCACCACTCTTCTACCAGGGAAATAACAGGAGATTTAAAAATCACCACATAGGAAACCATTCTCCTGAATAACCCAGCCTTCCTGGTCTCTCTTGGCAGTCTGTTTTGGCAGCAGTTGTAATTGCCAACCTGAAAGGAATGTTCATGCAGGTGTGTGATGTTCCTCGCCTGTGGCGGCAGAATAAGATGGATGCTGTAAGTCCCTCACCACTCTTCACCCCTTCTTATCTGAACTAAGATGTGGCTCCTGTATGCTTCCTTTCATATCACGCTGTTCCCCTTTTCCCATGTCTCCCATTTATTTTTATTTTTTTATTGAGAAATAAATATGAATGAGACAGTTTTGCAGCTGATTAATAGGACAGTTTTGATAATCAATACACTGTACACTGTTATCTTCTTAGTGGTTATCCATAGTACAAGAAGAAGACAGGATATTCTGTCCAAACACTGTTAATACACCTCTTTCTTCTCATTGAATTAAGCAAAAGTAGCTGTAAACTTATCCTAACTATTTTGTATATATAAATACAAAATGATCTTTCCTTTGTATCCTTTTTTTTTGTCCTGTCAGAGGTGAATATTCTATTGGCATCTAAATACTATAGGTGTTTGAATTCAACTAAACAATCCAACACTGTCTAGCAGTCTATAATATTAGTGGGTTATCCTCAGAAGTTATTGACTTGAGCCTTTTACAGCTCATCGTATTAATATGGATTTACTTTATATACCTCGTTTTCTGTTGAATGGCTAAGACCAAGGTATAGCAAGACCTATATAACAAGAAATACAACTTTTGTATCTGATAAGTCAACCAAGTACTCTCAGGATTTATCCTGTAGCCCTGTACCACCCTTTGTACATCCTTTTGTCAGTGTCAGACATGCGGATGAGTCACGGCCATTGCTTGACCAATTTGCTCTCTGTGAAAGCTTGAGAAAATGTTTTTTCTCTTCATGTGACTCTCCCCAGGCACACTTTACATCATTGAACACATTCTCCCCTTTATTTTGGAAATCCCACAGCAAAACTTGGAATTGTGTGAATAAACTGAAGTCTTGATATGAAAATCCTGCATGTTTTGAAGACCCAGTTTCGCTGGGCAGACTCGTTTTCAGAAGAATCCCATCTGAGGCTCATATACCCTTGGCTTTCTACAGCCAAAAAGCAAACACATTTTATTTAAATCTGGTTTAAAAACACCAATAAAACACAAAACAAACAAAACCAAAATATAAAACCCATTCCTTTGTGACTAAAGTAGTCTTTACAACTCTTCTGAGGAATTGTAAAAACCAGAAGCCAAACCTTTTAGACTCCTGGACTAACTGAGCCCAGAGCACATAAAAAAGAACAAACAAACTTCCTATCAGGCAAGTATTTCTATGACAAATTGAATGAAAAAGAGACCAGATTAGAAATAGTGGGGGAAGCTCGGTGTGCTTTCACACATGCACATGCCTGCTCACACACAGAAATAGAAGTAGATACAAGTGGGAAAAGATTTCAGCAGTGGGTGGAGACAGGAGAGAGTGTGAGCAAGAGTTTTTTCACTGTATACCTTTAAAATACGAATTCATGAAATGAAATTTTTGATCCATGAGAATACATTGCCAGTTCAAAACTTTAGAAATAAACAAAATGAGATAGTTGGTCTTAATTGGGAGGGTGAATTTCTAGCTGCACTTCAACATAAAATGAATGAAACCTGATTTTTTTTTTCTTTTGCGGAATAAGGCATTGAACTCAGGCCCTTGTGTTTGCCAGGGAAGCACCTATTCTACTGAGCTATCTCCCTGGCCCAAAACCTGAACATTTTTAAAAAGTCGCAATTTATGGAAAATTGATCTTATTTTTTCTAGGCTCTCTATCTATCAGTTGCTTGTACCAGAGCAATTAACATAATTCTTTTCATTTCCACCCCCCTCCTAGGTTATCTGGGTGTTTACTTGCATAATGTCCATCATTTTGGGACTGGACCTGGGTCTACTAGCTGGCCTTTTATTTGGACTACTGACTGTGGTCCTGAGAGTTCAGTTGTAAGTACAATAAAACCCAGATTTCCTATCCACAGGACAACACACCCTATACTTTCCTATGCTGTTTTGATAAATATAGCAAAACCACATCCTTCCATAAGTTACTATATATTGAGTGATTCTACACTAGAAAACACAGTGTTTTGTAAAAATTATATTTACTCTTCAAAAAATCCTATGAATACATTTAATTATTCTCATTGTACAGGAGGAAATCTAAAGCTCAGAAAGGCTATGAATTTTCCCTCAGTCCTACATTACTGGCAGAACAAAGATCTGAACTCAGATTATCTCACTCCAAATTTCTAGATTTTATCACATACTTCATGGTTGTGCTAACCCATTAGGCCTAACTAGACTAGGAGACACATAGTTCAGCCAGACTGAGGCTGCTCTGTAGTTTCTTCTTTAGATGAGATGAAGGGTGTGAGGCATTGGATCCAAAGTTGGAGACAAGACCACAGTTAAATCTATTACAACTCCTTTTCCTCTTTGGAAGTTTATAACCCAAAATTATGCAACCTACCCCAGGAGAACTTCAGAACAGTTGAATATAACAAGAGTTCACCCGAATCTCTCAAGTAGGGAATATATCCAATAAGTCACACAACTATGCCAAGTAGTTCATGTGCAAAGTGAAAGCGGCAAAGGCATGAGTCAAGTAATGGAAAACAATCTGTAAGGACTAGTGAGGGAAACCAAGGTGGACTTTGTTGCTGGTGGTGGCGGTTTTGTTTTGACTCTCAGGAGACTGGTTTCACACCCTCCTGAGAAATTAATATAATTATTTTCATTTCCACTCTCCTAGGTTATCTGGGTATTTACATGCATAATGTCCATCATTTTGGGGCTAGACCTGGGTCTACTAGTTGGCTTTTAATTTCAACTATTGACTGTGGTCCTGAGAATCCACATTTAAAATACAAAAGCTGAAAAGGGCAAAAGGGTACTGGAGAGGATCAGAGTCTCTTGCCCTCCTTAATTCTTCTACTGTCTTTCCCGACTTCTGGCTACTTCTCTGCCTGTGCTTGGGCCATCATGGAAGAAGGGATCATGGGTATGAGCTTAGCAGAAGCTCACCTCTTCATGCCAGCACTTCCTGCCCTTTCCCTTTTCTTCCTCCCTATAATGCTTGCATACTGCTTCTGCCCAGAAGGCCATGGCTGTCTATTTCAGCTCACCTTGGTGCCGAGTCCTGAAAGTTCATGAACTCCCAGTGGGCCCAGTTTGCTGCTAGAAAATAACTCAGAACGTGTTCTGTGTTTTTCCTCGTGTGTGTGTAGTTGATAGAGAAGGGTTTTGGAAAGAAAGACTAATTCGTGAGCTTGAAGTTAAAAATCAGCACACCACAGCAAGCCAAGGAAAAACTGGTGGCAAAGATTTTGCTTCTGGTTAGCTGACCAGGCCTTTAGCCAGCAAAAACCAGTATCCTCTACAGTGCTTAATTTCTGGTCATTATAGTGCCAATCCTGAGAGCACAATGCTGAAAGGACCCCAAACAGATAATCTTTCTCCAGGAGTTCCACTTAGCATATGTCCCTAGTCACACTTGAAGAAACATGGAATTTATCTGATTGCATCAGGAACAGGAAATCAACAGTCTGCTTGACAGGACAGACCTATTTCTGGTCCTCCCAGCCTGCTAGTTCTATAAAAAGAGACTAATTTGATCATCTGCAGACTCTCCATACTGCCTCAGGAAGTTGCAAATAAGTTACAAATAAGTGCCAGTTACCCAAGACCCATGACAGAGGCTGTGCCATCCCTTACCTCAGGGCCTTCTCCAGCTTCTCTGAACCTCAGTTGACTTACTATAGAAAGTAAGGACAACAAACTGCCCTCTGGGGTTATGGTAGGCCTTTGATGAGAGTTAATGTATGAAAAGCTCTTCACTCACCCTATAAATTGTTTTGCACGTGAAAGTATGGTGCTCATTATTTCTCTCAGCCATGAGAACATAGTTACAATCACTTCCTCCTTCTCTAGTTCACACAAACACCAGCTGTTCACTTCAGAGTCACTGGCAGGAAAATGTCATCTGCTACACTGACTGATCCCCAATCAGCAGAATGATGGCTGTTTAGCAGCCACTTCTTTTTAATTCTCCCTCCTGCCTCAGTGCTGGGGCTCAAACCCCAGAGCTATACCCCCAGCACTCCTCAATCCTTTTGGTGACAGGTAAATTTCTCAGGCTGATTTGGAACTTGTGATCCTCCTGTCTCAGCCTCCCAACTGGCTGTGATTTAGAGGCATGTGCCATTGTGCCTGGCTATTTTTCACTTTTTAGTCAAAAAAAAAAAAAAATTCTGATGTCAATTTTTCTTTTTATAGTCCTTCATGGAATGACCTTGGAAACATCCCTAGCACAGACATTTACAAAAGTATCAAGAATTACAAAACTGTAAGTACCTTTGTGAGATATTTTCAGAAAGAAGGTTTGTTCACCTATAATTTTAGGGGCCACATATTTCTCTTTTAAGGTAGTAGGCAGAAGGTAGCCAAGCATGAAAGAAGTCCTGATGATAGTCCACTGCTGACAGTGTCCTAAAAGCTGTCTGCCAGTGCATCTTCTGACAGACTTTGATTTCATGAATTTGTCAACACTAGTTCGATGTCATGTTAATAAAAAAATCATTGTAAGAAGTATTTTAAAACTAGACAATTATTTCCAGGTGTTCAATCAATATTTTTCCTTCTATGATTCTTAGCAACTTCTATGAAGTTGCCCGAAATCACCGTAAGACATTATTTATTCAGTTCTAACAAGAAATTTTCAAGTTTTCTGTCATGAAGTTATTTGATATTTTGCTTTATCTTTAGAATTGGAAGAAATAACATATGATGCAGGAAGTGAAAAAAAAGTTAAACATCCCACTGATGGACTTGTGTTGTCTGCACATAAAATTTAGTTATCACTATGGAAACAAAGATGAAAAGGCAGAGAAAGTAAATTTGGAAAACACAAACATAGGGGAAAATATTAAAAATATGTGTATGTGTGTATACACCCTAATAAGTTTTAGTTTAATTTTGCCTTAAGATTGAAATATTAGTGGACACCAAACTTGGAATTCAAGCTGTTACTTATTTTCAGAATCTTTTGTTATGTTGAGTCACATGCTAAAAAAGCCTAAAATGATGGTAGCTGAACTTTTGGCCCCGATACAGGGAACTCTGGGCTGAGTTTGAGAGTCCTGAACTCTCTGCTCCCTCTTGGTGAGATCTCAAAGACACAAAAGGTCTGTGATCCCATGGGTTCCACCACAGCATGGCCACTGCCTCTGAGTATAAATGAGCAGATGACAGTTCCTGCAAACCTCCTGATATTTACTTGTTTTATTTTTGCTACTCAAAAGAACTTTAGCAAAATCAGGTAGAGCAGAGGTATGAACTGGAGACAAATCCTGTCGTTGTTTTGAACTTTGCTTTCTTTACCACGAAATCAAAGGGTTGAAAATTGCTAAGGCCCTAACTTGACCTTCTGTGGAGTTTTGGAAACCCAAGAGTTTTGGCAACTCAGAGGCTTACAACTGTGTTAAGCCCTCTATTTAAGGAAAGTTGAGTGTTGCCGCCCAGTTCCTAGCAATGGTCACCCAGCTCCTTGTAAAACAACTACTTCATTGAGTATCTGAGGTCTAGAATTAACTAACTTCCTTTTTTTCTTTTTCTTTTTAAATATCAGATTGAAGAACTTCAAGGGGTGAAGATTGTTAGATTTTCTGGCCCAATTTTCTATGGCAATGTTGATGGTTTTAAAAAATGTATCAAATCTACAGTAAGTATTTTATCCCTGAAAATTTGGTTTTTAACTTGAGATTTCAGTCTATTTATTGGCTTCAGCTGGGAACAAGACACTATGCTGTATTCTCTTTTGTGTGGAATTTACAGAATTAAATTATAACATCTTTTCCCTGAAAGGATTTACAATTTGGGGATAGGAAAAAATATATGTAATCTATTTGGGATTTTAACCCCAGGTTAAAATCTAGATAGTGGTAACTGCCAGTCTAAAATTCTATATGGGCCGGCCAGACACCTCTGTGGATTAAAGCGCCTGCATAGGCAGGCACACGGGCAGGGTTCGATCCCACCTGCCGTGCCCCCCCCCCCCGGGGGCGCGCTGAGATGGAGAATGAGACTGGGCGTGGTGGCACTGCCTGTAATCCCAGCGCTTGGGAGGCTGAAAAACAGGAAGCTCATTATGAGTCCCATCTGTGTAGCGAGACTCTGTAGACCCTGTACTAAATGCATTAAAAAAAGAATAAAACGCTACACATCCAGGTAGACTTGAACTTCCAATACTGTGTTAACTTCTGAGTGTAGCGCTCAGAGTTCCTAGGGCGGCGCAGCTGCAGGGGCTAGCAGGTGACCAGGGCGGTCAGCGGTCCTTACATGAACTGTGGCCACCGCTCAGGGAAGGGCGCTGTGCGAAGGACAACCTGCAAAGCGGACAGAAGAGGACAGAAGGCCTGTGATGGAAAATAGTGCCGCTCTTCACAGTTTTATTTGAAAAACAGTTGTACACACAGACACACACACACCCCCAATATGTACCAAGTCTGTTGTGGCTATTTATTTTGGTATCGGGGATGAAACTCAGAACCCTGTGCTTGCCAGGCACTTATGATACTGAGCCATTTCCCTGGCCCTAGCGCGGTTATTTTAAATTAACACTTTTAAATACAGCAGGAGTGGTCCACTTTAGCGGGAGTTTGGGACCTGGAGAGCTGAGGGTGGGGGTGGGAGTGGTAGCGAGAGGCGCGACAAGGTCTTCGAGGAGGGGTCCCTGCTTGGAGCAAGTGAACAGCACTGCTGTAAGCTGGAAGGATGAGCTCACCTTGAGCATCACTGACCCTCTGAACTTGGGTCAGTGTTTTCTTAAGGGAGTTCCAGGGCAAACTGGTTCTGAGGAATGTTTATAGATTTTACAACGTAAGGACTCCAAGATGTCAAGGAAATCTAGAAAATAGACTTAAAGCTAGGAGTTGATTAGGGCTGTTTTGTCTTGTACTGTCTTGATGCTTTTGATGCTGTTGTCTTTCCCGAGTTTCTGGCAGTGCAGAGAGGTCTACACATCGGATCAGACCTCACAATTTTCTTTTCTGACAAGGTGTCCTAAGGAATGTTATGTACTGAGAAACAAGTGTTCAGGTAACAACTGGCACTAGCAGACAGTAGGAAGCAGACATTTGGTAATTTGACATCTATTTCCGAAGGTTGGATTTGATGCCATCAGAGTATATAACAAGAGGCTGAAAGCACTGAGGAGAATACAGAAACTCATCAAAAAAGGACAGTTAAAGGCAACAAAGGTGAGGTATCATCTTTCTCCTACGTCCTTAAATTCTTTCCGTTCTCTAATGAAAACAGACACAGTCTAAAATTAAATCTATCCCCTTTGGTATCCAGATGTGTACTGGCAGAAGACATATGTATGTCTGAGAATGGCTGAGCGGTTTCTGATAAAATGAAATCAGCATCGCTCCCTGTAAACAGTGTGTGAATTTCCCCCCACAATGAATAGCATCTGCATTATTTTTAAACCATATTTTTATTGGAAGAAACAAATTAAGTACAAATTATATACCAGAAATTACAATGGAAGGCAGTAAGTTCATAAACTCTTAGAGCGATTAACCTCTATTCAGATTCTCCTACCAATAGTACACCTGTTGGCAAATTTCCACAAAATTGAGTTTCTTGGTTCCCTATTCTCCTATACTTCTTCCTAGAGAACATCAAAGTTTGGACCAAAGTAAAGTCCATTTGTGTGCGCATGTGTGTGCGGTGGAGGGGATTAAATCTGAGGCCTCATTCATGCTAGGCAAGTGCTCTGTCACTGAGTGACATCTCCAGCCCTTCCTTTTACTTTGAGGTGGTCTCACTAAAGCTGGTCTAGAAGTTGTAATCCTCTTGCCTTAGCCTCTTGAGTAGCTGGAATTACAGGCATGTTCCACCAGGTTTGACTAAAACTCTCACTCCTTAAGTATTCAACCTTTTCCCTTCAGCTCCTTTGTCCCGTTAGTGTAAGAACCTGAAAGAGAAAATAGGATCTGAAAGGTACAATAAATACTGTGAAAGGGAAAGAATCTGTTCAGAGGGAAGGAAAAACTAGGATGAGGAAAAGGACAAAAGAAAGAAGGGAAAAAGATATATTTGTGTATATATATTGGATAGCTTGGATAATTGTACTGCTGATTTCTGCTGATCTTTTGAAAGGAAGATTGGCATTTTGCTAAACCTTAAATTTTTTTCTTTTTAATTCTTATAACTTTTTATACCAATTTTGCATGCTTATATCTGGTAATCTAAACAACTAATTTGAATACAACATTAAGCAATATAACAACTTTTGTTTTATTTAATGAAGTTGTGTATTGTTTCTAATGGTTTTTTATTTTTTAATTTTTTAAACTATTTTCTATTTCCTTAAAAAAAAAGAGTATTCATCCCCTTGGTATTTTTGCTTACCAAAGAATAACTGGTGTAGGATTTTTAAATAATTGCAGATGGATGACCAAAAGACATTTCAAGTCACTGGCAATTAAGTTGGCAGTGTTTCCTTTCTTTAGAATGGCATCATAAGTGATGGTGGCTCATTGAATAATGCTTTTGAAGCTGATGAAGACATTGAAGATCCGAAAGAACTTGATATCCCAACCAAGGAAATTGAGTTCCAAGTAGACTGGAACTCTGAGCTTCCAGTCAAAGTGAATGTCCCCAAAGTGCCAATCCATAGTCTCGTGCTCGACTGTGGAGCTGTATCTTTCCTGGATGTCGTTGGAGTGAGGTCTTTGCGCATGGTAAGATTCTGGCTTTCTGAATTATAGAACTGCAGCTATGGTGGTGGTAAAATGATACAGGCTTCCCAGTTTTGCAAAATGATAATGTGTGCGCTGTGCAGCCAGATTGGCTCCATCTCTGGTGTCCAACTGGGAACAAGGTGCTCAATCTGTCTGTGCTTCAGTTTCATTTGTAACAGATGTAGTGGTGATATTTACTTCACAGAAGCATTATGAAGATTAAATAAGCTTAGAAATATAAGGAGTTTAGAAGAGTATCTAATATGTAAATATTCTCAGTAAAAATTACATTGCATTTTATTTTTCTGAGAATGTCAATGGAATACGAAAAGGAAAAATGATAACATTTTATGTGAAGTTTTTTATTCAATTTATTATGAGAACAGAAACAGGATAAGGAACATCAAGAACATGATAGGACCAGGAAAGACAGAGATTAAGAGATTAGAGCAGGCCGCAGGTTAGTCAGCTAGAAGTCAAAGTAGAAGTTGAGGAGCACTCACGGTGGAAAAATTCATGAGGTAGAAAGCATGTAGGCAAGCTCTGTGTCATTATTTCTTCAATAAATAGACATTAAATGTCTAAAATGTGCTAAGTACTGTGCAGGCATAAGAGCCTAATGAGTAAGTAGCCATAGTTTCTACCCTCATGAGACCAAGCAGTCTACAGGGGAAGGCAAACATCAGGTAATCTTGTAAATAACAACTGTGTTGAGGGCTTCAAAGCAGATTTTAAATAGGGTATCATCTCACGCATGAAGCTTAGGTGAAGCTTCAGATAGGCATTGTGAAGGTTAGCAGAAAAGTATGCTAAGGTGCCAATAATCAGCTGTAAAATATGAAACAGACATGTGAGGTTTAGCCTCACTGGGGGCTTTCTGGCTGTCTTGAAGGAGTAGGAAATCATGGCAGACGTAGGTATCTACACCTTGGCAAGAGCATGAGCATATGCAGACAGGGCTCTGTTCTCTTAGCAGATCTGCTTATTAACTCACCTGAAAACACACTTTTGTCCCTTGTTGTTCATTTTATTCTCGAGATTGGTTCCCATCCACTGTAGACTGTATGGCCAAAATGTTCAGTAAATTACTTTTACAGAGAATCTTTTTTTTTTAATCATGTTTATTATTAGTATTCATCTTTTTTTTTTTTTTTTTTGGTGGAACCAGGGATTGAACTCAGGCCCTTGCGCGTGCCAGGGAAGCGCTTATTCCACTGAGCCATCTCCCTGGCCCCCAGAGAGTCTTAACATATTTAATACCAGAACATTTTCTATGCTTCCACAGCTACTTTCCAATATTATAACAACAATCATTTATTATTATCCATAGGTCTAGTGTTCCTTTTAAACTTAAACTTTTAATGATCATGAAAATGAATTACATTTAGTTGTAAGAAATACTACAGAGTCTATGTACTCTGGCCCCAGTTTCTTCCATCATAACAACTTATAAAACTATTGCACAAAATTATAATCAGGATACTGACAGTGACACATTTAAAATAGAGACCTCAATGTTTAGGTCAGGTTTCATTCTGAATGTGGTGGTCACATCCACAGCTGTCTGTCTTCCACCCAGATGTGAATTTGTACTCTTTGCTCTAATCTGCAGGGTTATCTTAGGAAGCTTCTGTACTCTTCTTCCCTCCAAAAATATTTATAGAGCATCTCTAGAGGTTTGTGCTATTGAGCACAGCTTGTTGTCATCTCTGGAGGTATGGTTTTTTCATCTTTAAATATATCATTGTGCGGGGAGGTAGCTTAGCGATGTAAGCACCTGCCTGGCAAGTGCAAGGTCCTGAGTTTGATCCCTGGTCCAAAAAATAAAATAAAATAAATATATCATTATAAGTTGAAAACCTCTATGGTTTTTCCAATAATGAACTTTCCTCAGTCTTGATTAACATGAAAAGTTGACATTCCTCCTGAGCAAGCAAGTGAACCCGACTGAATGATGGGCACACAAAGTTATGTGTTTTACTTTTTTTATTTTTAGATTGTTAAAGAATTCCAAAGGATTGATGTGAATGTATATTTCGCATCACTTCAAGGTAAGTATGTTTATCTATCTAGGACTTTCTCCTAAGCTCTTTGTTTTGTATTGTGATAAATAATGTATAAGAACATTTGCCATTTTTGTCACTTTCAAGCATCAGTAATTCAGCAGCATTAATTTTAGTAACACTTATTATCTATTTCCACAACTTTTCATCACTATAAACAGAAACTGTACCAATTAAAATATAACAGAGGACTTTTGAACCCAGAAAGATGTTACTTCCAATTTGTCCCACATAGTTGGTTGCATTTGGAAATATGCAATCTGATAGTGGTGCAAGATCAAGGGGGAAGAGAGATTGTTATGGGGAGAACAGAGCTGGAGAAGACTCACATCCGCAGAAAGAAGATGGAGGAGGGTGCGAGTCCTTGTGTACAGGTGCGTATGTGAGTAGGAGGGTGCTAGTGCCTTCTCTGGAAGCACAGCCTGATACGGGGATTCTTACACAAATGATTAAAGAACTGGGAAGAAGGACAGGGTGAGGAGAGGCTGATTAAAGACATTGTTCCAGAAGTGTTGCCCTAGATTTCTGATTACACAAGAAGCCCCAAAGCAGGGAGTGCAGCAGAGAGTGATGTTGTCTTAAGCAAGGAGCTTTGTCTTTGGACCCGCAGTTTCATCAGCCAAGGCATGCAGGCTGCCTAAGTGTGGGGCTGTGGCCTCCCTGCGTGAGTCAGCATCCACTGGGCAGGAAAATTCTCCAGAGCTGTGCACAACTTTGAACTGTAGCCACCAGGCTCACAGTAGCTGGGGGGTGGGTACACTCACTCTGCAAAGGGACCCGGAAAGACACCAAACGCACCTACATGCACTCCTGAGATAACCATTCCATGTACTCCTGGAAAATAAAGTCAGTTTACAGCAGGATCGTATTTTGGAAGTGGGGAGGAGGATATCTACAAAAACTTAGTAATAGATTTGCTATTAAAAAATAATTTTTCTTTGTGCTAAATATTATCTATCTGTTTTGCAGATCATGTTATCAAGCAGATGGAGAAGTGTGGTTTCTTTGATGATAACAATAGAAAGGACACATTATTTTTGACTATTCATGATGCCATACTTTACCTACAGAACCAGGTTAAAGCCCAAGAAGGTCAAGATCCCATTTTAGAAATGGTAAATACTTAACTTTACTGCATCTGTAACTTTCTAGACTATCAGGCTTTCTATATATGGCAGAAGTTACATGCATCTAGTTTTGCTTTTAAGACCACATACAGCACCGCGTGCCATGCAGGCCCTGCCCCCGGGGCACGCTGAGAAAGAGACTGAGACTGGGCGGGATGGCACATGCTTGTAATCCCAGACTTGGGAGGCTGAAAACAGGAGGATCACTATGAGTCAGATCTGTGTAGTGAGACCCTCTACTAAATACATTATAAAAAAAGACCACATGCATAACCTCGGGGAGCCTCCAATTTTTCACTGAAAAAATGGGAGTAAAAACATTTAATTTGCTGAGAAGATATGAGGATTAAATGACAGAGGCTTTAGGAAAATATCTGGCAGTGTCTAATATACAGTAGTTCTATAGTGTGGGCAAAAAAATGGGCATTAGCTATAGTGCCATTTAATTTTTTCATTTTTATTTTTAATTAGCACATTTGTAGCACATAATACTCTTTGTGTGGAGTTGGTACATGTATCTAACACACTCAATTATTTCATCCCCTTTCCCTCCCTTCCAGTTCCCCTTCTTCCATCTCTTGCTTCTCTTCCCATGTGCAAAAGATCCATATCCTATTTCTGATCATCTTTTATAATCAATTTGTTCAATTATCTTTATAACCAATTATATTTTGGGGTTTCTCACATAAGAGAACAAGGTTAAAGGCCACATAAGAGAATCAGATTAAGTTTGTGCGTTTATTTCAGTTAACATTATGGTCTCAAAGTGCATCCATTTTCCTACATATGACTCAAGTTTATCTGTTTATATATACTCCATTAATACTGCACTGTGTATACAGTTTTCGTCTATCATTTCTTTCTTTTTTTTTTTTTTCTTTTTTTTTTTTTTGGTGGAACCGGGAATTGAACTCAGGCCCTTGCGTTTGATGGGGAAGCACTTATCCCACTGAGCCATCTCCCCAGCCCCTCTTCTATCATTTAATGATATATAGGGTGCTTCCTGGATTTAGCTATTATGAATCCTGCATCTATAAACATGAGTATGCATGTATCACTGTACTATTACGTCTTTAACTCTTTCTGGCAAATACCTAGGAGGGGAATAGATGGGTCAAATGGAATTTATAGTTTTAGTGTTTATTTTTTGAAGAATGTCTATACTGATTTCCATAGTGGTTGTACTAGTTTCCATTCCACCAACTGTGTAGGATTCCTTCCCCCCCACACCCTCACCAATATTTGCTATAATTAGATTTCTTGATCATAGCCTTTCTTTCTGGAACAACATGGAATCTCAGTGATGCTTTGATTTCCATTTCTCTGATGGCCAGAGTTGTTAAACACTTTTTCATGCATTTTTGATCATTTGTATACCTTCTTCTGAGAAATATTTATTTATTTCAATTCCCCACATTTTATTTGGTATTTTATTTTGGAGGAGCCTAATTTTTTTTTAGTTCTTTATATATTCTAGATATTAGTCTTCTATCTGGCAGAAAGTTTTTTCTATTTCTAAGTTGTCTCTTCAATTTGTTGGATGCTTTCTTTGATGTGCAGAAGCTTTTTAATTCAGTATGATTCCATTTGTTGATTTTCATTGATATTTCTTGCAGAACTGGGGTTCTGTTCAGAAAGTCCTTTCCTATGCCTATGCCTTTAAGTGTTTTACTTATTTTACCTTCCAGCAGATCTTTGATCCATTTAGATTTTAGTTTGGTACATGGTGAAATACATGAGTTTAGATTCAATCTTCTGCATATTGATAGCCAGTTTTCCTAGCAACATTTACTAAAAAGGGCATTTACTAAAGATAGCTCAGCAGTCTAGAGCTCCTGTTTAGGCCAGCTTAGGCAAAAGCACAGGGACCGTGGTTCAATCACCACGGTCAATCAGCACAGGCTGCTCCAGCCTCACCAGGGATGAGCTGGCCAAAAAAAAAAAAGAAAAAAAGGCATCTTTCCTCCAGCATATGCCTTGGCCCTTTAATCAATGATCAGATAGTTGAATGTGCTTCAGGTTATTTCTGCAGCCTTTATTCTGTTCCACTGATTCACGTGTCTGTTTTGGAGCCAGTCCCATGCTATTTTTATAGTGGTAGCTTTGTTATAATGCCATTTTTGAAGACAGCATCTTCTGTGATTTGTGTACATAGATTCAACAGAAATTTCAGCCATCTGGAAACCCCTGAATTATAGATAGATGTGTTTAAATAGGATACATCAGGCCATAAGTGGTCTTGGAAAAAATAAAACCATGAATAAAGCCAATGTTAATTTTCTCTCTCAAAATATAATAGACCCTAAATTTCTCTAGGTTTGTCAATTCTCCCATCAAATCTCCTAGAGAGGTAAACATTTTGAATAGACTTATTGCCTAGGCCTCCTGGAAGGCATGGAACCTTATTTTTCATGCTGCCTGTCACAGTGAATTGTGGGAATTAAACGAAATACCTACAAAAAATAAGTCTAGTGATATACATGTGTTAAGTTACTTCTCATTTTTATAAACTTAGGGTAAACATTATTGTAGAAAGTCGATATCTAAAGGAAAAACTAATATAGAAAACAATATTATGTTTTTCAGCTTCTGTTAGTGGAGAAGTTGCTCTGCTTAATGTTTCTGGGGGAAAAAAAGTAATAAAACCACAAATATAAAACCAGCTACATGTAAACTGTTCATCCTTGAAAAATCATTAGCCTTTTTCTATCCAACTTGAAATTCTTTGGCCCAGAGGTAAAAACAAAGCCAAATAAAGAAACAGAACTAATTACCATCCAATTCAAGGTCACATATCTAAATCCCACATTACACATAATAGAAAACCAGTGTACAAGTTCCTTCTCAACATGAAAATAGTTATTGTTTTTTATCAACCATTCTGAACTAAAATCTTAGCCCAGTATGTGGCAAAACCCACTGGCCAAAAATCTACCCACCATGCTAGACGCTATCTTGTTTGTAATCAGGGAGGTACTGTGAGGGACTAGGGTGAACTTTGTTTGCTTGATTTGTTTTCATTCCTCAATATGTTATGCTGAGTATAACTGGATTCTGGCATCATATACTTTCTGGCTCACTGGAGAGTGGGCTGACCATCACTGATGGCCTGTGAGCTCAGGAAACGTCCACTTCTGTATTTCCTCAGGGTCTAGCACAAAGCCCTCTCTATGGTTGAATTATTGCAAATGACAGCCCCTCATGTGGAACTTTCCCTTTTTTATAGCAAGAGTCCCTTGTGTACTAAGAATACTGGAGATAGAGTGACATATCAGATCCTTTCCCTATCCTTATTTTCCCATTATAAGAACCACCCCAATATCTGGTAACACCTATCTCTACCTTTCCCATCATGTCATGACTATTTTCTTTTTCTTTTTTCTTTTTTTCATTTTTTTGCAGAACTGGGGATTGAACTAAGACCCTTGTGCTTGCCAGGCAAGTGCTTATTCTACCAAGCCATCTCCCTGGACCCTCATGACCATTTTCTTAGGAACTTAGTCTTTTATTCATTTCCACACTAACCAAGAGAATTGGGTTATTCATGACAAGAAAGAAGAGCAGAATACCACTTAAAATCATTTACTACTTCTGTACATTTGTACACTAATGTATACTTTGGTATATATTTGGAGTTACTTTGGAAATATCCTTTTTCATGCATGAGACAAAGGCCTAATTGCTGGTCTCCTCAGTCTTGAAGATGAAATCACATAATGCTCCTAACGCACTAAACTTTCCTGAACCAGTTTGGTCTATGGTCATTGTTTTCGTCTCCAATAAAATTAAGCTCCATCCAATTCAAATTGAGACGATTTACCATACTCAGTCACAAATCTTGGCTGTGCATTTGCCACATACTTGATGCTAACTAGGTGTTCTTAGTTCAGCCACTGAAAGAGAAGCGCTATTGACTGCCCCACCAGTTAGGCAGAGGGGGTCACTCGAAAGGCACACATCTCAGAGGTCAGGAAGACAGTGGAATAGGAGGTTAGACAATGGAGAACTGTGGTGGTTCACACTTGTATGTGAAAATTGATACACGGAAAATTTTAAGTTGGGAAATATAAAAGAATATGAAAGCTAAAGAGGATTCTGAAGTCTGCAGATTACAGAAGCACCAGCAAAGCTTTGAATCATATTTAGTGAAGTATCTGGTGGACTGATGCTATTACATTTTTAATAAATATCATGTGTTCTCTTTCTCAAGATCACCCTCATTCAAGAATGCAAAGATCCACTTGAATTAATGGAAGAAAAGATGACTCAGGAAGAACTTGATGTCCAGGAAGAGGTATAATCATTATTTTCTCCTCAAGCAAACATGGATTAAATCTTGAGTAAATTGAGTAATACAGGTAGAGAATATATATCATTAAGAACTGTTCAGAGAAAATAATTCCAAAACACATGGAAAGGATGGTTTTATAGGAGGGAACATGAAAAAATAGGATTTTTCCCTTGAAGGCATTAAGTTTTCTGGGACCTCTGTCTCAAACATGTGGAAACAACTGAGAGCAGCAGGAAAGAGAAAAGGGAAAGAGGGAGTATTTCTAGCCTCAAATTTCATAAACTTCTGGAATATTATAGTATATGAGGAATATACTATAATTACCTTGTAATCTTTTTTTATCTGATAATGGCCTAAAAAAAAAAAATCTTCCCTTGCCTGGGGCTGAATTCTATGTATTTTAAAGGCGATTCTGTCAGCACATTATTCCAAGGAAACTTGTCATATCTGGACTTGTAGTATCTCATTCAACTTTGTAACTTCATCCTTGAGTAAAATGCGAACAAGTGAAGGTCACCTAACTCTGCAGTTGAGCTATGCCCGGTGGCACACACCTGTAATCCTAGCCCTCAGGAGGATCACCAAGAGTTTGAGGCCAGCCTGGGCTACATAGAGAGTTCAAGGCCAGACTGAACGACAGATTGAGACCTTGCCTCAAAAAACCAAAATAGGTAAAAAAAAAAAAAAAAAAAAAGTTGAAAGATATCTTA